ATTCATAAATTCTTTTCTTAGATCTTAATTTAACACACACATAAAGATACTTGTCAAGATTTATCTCAAATAGGTTGCCCCGTATGAGTTCTTCCTACAAATTAGTTCAAATTCTCTCTTGCTCCCCCCTAACGCTCGTTCATTCCCTTGTCTTTGTTGATTTTCTACTAATGACCCATACAGAAGCTCATAAACCAAGTTTGTTGCCGTCAACACAAGTTCGCCTCTCGCTACAGTGACTAGAAATGAAAAATTGTACCGATTCTTGTCAAACGTTAAAATGAAAATATAAGAAAGGGAAGGAATGTTCCAATTAGCATGAAAGAAGGTTTCCTACTTTTCAATATCTCCCGAGAATCTTATATTGCCTTATGTGGGTCACTGCTTTCATTCTCACATGTGCTATAGAAACTGATCGCTGAACCCCCCCGAGGTTTATGGAATCATATGCGCAGAGGGAAAGGAAGTAAGTGCAACACTTTTAACTCAAATCCACCAAATCTCAGACCTTGATTTCATCCCACCACTGAGAATAACATGAATAAGTTGGTGGGAATAGTAATGGGGATTAGGATTTTAATTAAGGGTTTAATTAATTTTATTACATCAATAGCCTATTATTTTTATATCTCCTTTTATTTTCATAATTCATATAGTGTACTATATATCAAATTGATCAATTCAACGCATAGAATTTTATATTATTGATTCGATTGAATTTTAGGGATGCAAAATTTGGGTGTTATAGTTACCCCTTATAAAAAATTCGTCATTGAAATTTCTGAATTATCTCAACAGGAAGGGATATTTCTATCACATTTTTTTTATCTCATGTAACTTTTTTTCCTGGCATGTGCTTCCACTTTATCCTAACAAAAACAATTTGTCTGTTCCTCGGCTTCTGATATATGTTTCTAAAATTTTCTTAAGCTACTCAATATAAGTTAATTGTCTTTTACACATCAATGTTTTCATGTGAAATCCTCTGATCTAAATTTGAAACATATTTTCTTAACATTGAGATGTGAAACACATCATGAATATCTGACATATCAGCAGGTAAAGTTAGCCTGTAAGCAGCTAGACCAATCCTTTTATAATTTAAATGTACCTAGGACTCAACTTGCTTCCCTGACCAAATTTGATTGTAACTTTCATTGGTCTGACTTTTAAAAATACAAAAACTTCAATTTCAATTTTTATCATTTTGCGCTTTAAGTCATAATATTTTATTCTTGATCCCGAGCAACTTTCAACTTGTATCTGATTAACCTGATTTTCTCTATGGATTTATCAACTAACTCAGGACCTAACATTTGACGTTCAATCATTTCCACCCAACTAAATGGAGTTCTGCATTTGTTATCATACAATGATTCATAATGAGTCATATTAATACTAGATTGATTACTATTATTGTAGGCAAACTTGATCGTTGAAATGTGATTTTCCCAACCATCTTTAAAGTCAAGAACAAAAAATCTCAACAAATCTTTCAATACCTGAGCTGTCTTTTCTAATTGTCCGTCGATTTGTGGATGAAATGTTTTGCTAAGAAGCAAATGTATACACAATCTTTGTTGGATGTCTTTCCACATCTTGGACGTGAATTTTCCCTCTGTCAGAAATGATAAGTTTTAGAATTGTGTAGTATGATAATTTCTTTTACATATAATATGGTAAATTTTTCAGCTGAATAAATTTGTCTGATTGACAAGAATGAGTCATTTTGTTAGCTTGTCATTAATAACCCAAATATTATCGTGTCATTGTTTGGATCAAAGAAATCCTGTAACAAAATTCATAACAATTTTTCTCATTGTCATTTAGGTATATACAAATGATTGTAACAATTTGCTAGGTCTCTGAGGCCCGACCTTTACAATCTAACAAGTTTGACACTTAGACAAATATTTAGCAATATCCTTCTTCGTAATTGGCTATCAGAATATCAATTTCAAATCCTTATACATTTTATAGTTATCTAGATGAATTGTATACCCTAAACAATGAGTCTCATGTAGAATTTACTATCTAAAATCAGGATTAGTAGGTACCCATAGCTAAAACTTATTTCTGATTATACCATCTTCATCAGCAGTAATATCCGACATATTTCCTTATTAAAGTTTTTTCAAGTGTTTCAAATATTCACTATTAACTTTCTAGGTTGCTTTAACTCTATCTATTAAAGTTGGGTGCATCATTGATTTATGTAAATATTCCATATCACATGGTCTCTGACTTCCAATTTTAATACATCAATCTCTTTAATCAATTTCAACTCCTGAGTAGAAGAGATCATCGAGATTGTAAAGTTTGTACAATCATTCCAAGTGAAAATTTAAGTATCCAATATCGTTTATTAGTTCTAGATTTTAAAATGAGTTGTAAAATAAAGAATACTAGGACTCATCATCGTAGAATTAGATGAACTTAAAAGACACAAATTACATTATTTTTATGAGTAAAATTCAAGATTTCAAAATTTTGGATGTTCATGAAGAAACAAATGTTATGTGAGATAAAACAAATGTTATGTGAGATAAAGTAGCAAAAAATGTGCTTGGAGAATCAAAAGAAAAAAATTTTATAAATAAAAATAGTTGATGGTGGAATAATAATGTGCAACATTTTATA